TATAAGATTCCATTAAGAGCAAGAGTGGAAATATGAATTTGATTCTTTCATTGTGTAGTGTCTAGATTTACCAAATAAGGAAATATTCTCATCACCCAAGTTTCAGTTGGATAGAAACTTGGAATCATGCAAGTTGTTAAACATGATAATGAGAACTTTCGAGCATTGGAAAAATTAAGACTAACTACTTGTTCACATGGGTGTGTGAGTCAAGTGAAGGACTAAGGGATCGGGTACACATTCTTGTGCACTGGTCAGAGTCCACACCAAAAGATCGATACGACTATTCGTCATAATTTACTATAGCTCAGTAAATATGGTTATACTTACCAGCTTAAGTGTAATTCTGAGACATTGGAAACTGTTCTAATGTATGGCAGAGCGAATAAGAAGAATCAATTTAGGCAGAAAGATAAAAGTTTCTCAAATCTGAAAAGATGGGAGAGAGTACTTTAGTATCATGTTTTAAGACCATCTAATGATTTTGAGACCTTATCACACTTCATCCTCTAAGTGCATTCTGATAGTTAAGAAGAGGAGTTATGAATTATTGAAGTGGTTAAATCAAGAAGATGATTCATACTTCATTCCAAAAACAATTCTTAGAGTTATACTCTAAGATTGTAACTTGAGTGACATGTCTTAAAGAAGGTTTAAAACACTTATCAAATGTAAGAGTAAAAGTTTTCTACTCTTGTACATTTGAAATTGGTAAGTTGTGATGTTTTGGATAAAACAAAGACCAACTAAGGCCAATTGTGTGAAGTGTTTGTTGATTAGAATCCACACTATCTCTGAATACCTGACAAGAAAGTCTTCTTATATGTCAAGAGGACAGTGGAGTCTTAAAGGTCTTGAAAGTCTCAAGAACTAATCAAGAATAAAACTGAAGTTCTTCACTAGCACACGACTTGAGGTTTATAACCTATCGTGTTGACATATTCTGTGCCCATTCCAGTTAAAGTTGGCTTTGCATATGAGTTCTTAGAGTTCTCAATTGGTTGCACAACAACTTGGAAGCAATGGCAGGCCCTTGAGCTGCCAGGTGGCAGAAATTAAGATTGAGTTCAGTCCATATGAGTTTGGATTTTCATTATCCTTGTCTTGTGACTATGGTTTTGACAATTCACATGGATAAGAACACATACATCATTAAATCTAAGGGTCATAAGGTTTCTCTCCGATTCATGAAAATGATGGTGAGGAAACACTTCCACCAAGTAGATTTGAAGTAGATAGCAATTGTGATATTTGCATTCTCAAAGTCGTTAGTGGAGCTGTGTGGTTAACCGGCACATAACATGGACTGTGAGAAGTGGCAAAGGTCTAAACAATTGAGACTATGATTACGGCATCCCTTTTCATAGTTCTGAAATGTTTAGACACACCTGTGAGCTATCTAAGATAAGGTGTATGATATTGATAAAGTTTTATCAAAGCAATCTAGTATCAGAAATCTGACACTTTGGTAAGAAAGTCAATAAAGTATTGTTTTTTCTAGAAGTTCAACTGATTTCTGAGTACATGTCAAAGAGTGGGAGCATAAGTTATGCTAATAATCATCATGTTAGTGGGAGCATGATACTTATGGTAAGTATTGCAAGTTAGCAATGCTAATTACAGAAAACAAAAGGTTCAATTGGGAAAAAGTTGTTTTGCTATAATTAAGGGAGAGGAAATTATACTTCATCTCAAATCTAAAAGCTTAGATTGAGGTTTTAATCGTATTTAGTCAAGTATATATTATGAATGTTATGTTGGAATGGCTCAACATAAGAAAATTCTAATATAGGGTCCATTATTTGCGTTCTAAATTCGATTATGATTACGACATCCTTTTCATAATCTGAATTATGAGAACTTGGCAATTGAAATGGAAATATGATAGCAAAAGACTGGTTTAGTCTTTATGTGATACATCATGAATCGTGTCCATATGCTTCAGATATAGGATCGATTGCATGTGCTATATTCATCCTTTCTAAAATTTTCAAATGCCTGGGCATTAAGAAGGGAAAAGGTCTAGAATTGGATATGACTAAAAGGATTAACAATTGTCGAGGACAATCTAAGGTTTACCAAAGATTGGTTGCTCAAGGACAGTTGGAAGTATAATGATAATTCTGGGAAGGACCATATTGACATAATCTGTAAGGAGGAGGAAACTCTTGTTCAGAAATGATAGTCAAAATGGAATATGGAAATGTTTCAAAGTTAGAAATTATTCAATGTGTGTAAGATTAGGAAACTTAATGCAAGAAGGATGTTTCCAAGGAGTTGATCTCCTTTGGAATGTTCTGTAATGTTTGTTGTCAAGTCTATCTGACTTTGTGCATAATCATTACAAGATGATCAATGCATATAAGTTTAGAATCTAACAAATTTCAGTAAATGGCATGAATTTGGAATTCTTGCATTTGCAGTAAGGATTGGGACTATGAAAAGAGGATCATTGGAGTTATGTTCAATTGATCTATTTCACAAAGTAAAGATATAGACAAACATAGTATGCATACTTGGTGTATGGCATGACTAGTGTTTAGAAAACATAGTGTACATGCTTGGAGCATGGGACAACTATTGTTTTAAATTCAAGAATAAAGTTGATAGCTGAAACAGTATACAATGAATAATGTGTAATCATATGGTGATAAATAAAAGGTGTTTTATTATGTTCATAGGTTTGATTCCATATTCGATTCAATTATTCTTGTGTTTCTTTTGCATGTTTTGACTTCCAGATAAACTAGGTCATTGTTCTGGATGACTAAGTTATTCAAACCATCCACAATCGGTCATATGTTGGAAGTAGATATGATTAAGACTGTCATGGGTTGGCTTGTAGAGGTCTAAGATGTTGGACAAAGGGCTACAACACTCATGAGTGCTCATAAGTTCGAGTATTGGATTCAACCCGCGCTCATTGGAATCACTTCATGGTTTTATCACGAGTGATCATGAGACGATAATATCTTATATTCTTCAAACCTAGAGATATGAGTTGTTACTATGAGTTGGTTATACATTGATTGCACGAAAACGCATTGGTAACTCGATGTTATAAACGTGCCTTTGTGTATAATTCAACAAGTAGTTGAACAAGCCATATGAGTCGAAGTATCAATTCCTTTTACCTTCGGGATAAAAAGCGATATCTGTGGGTCCCTCGATGATTTGGTGATGACAACGTAAGTGCTCGGTCGGGCCTGGATTGATTGATTTGTTCAATTAGTCAGTCGTCATAAATCGGAATCGGGAAACAACAAATGGACAGAGAGAATGATTATAATCCATGTCTCAGTCCATATGATATCTAGAATGGAGGAATATATGATCCCTTATCTAATGGACATGTCATTTGATTTGTTGTTTAGAGTTTGCTAGCGGCTTAAGAGCTACGATTGCTAGTCGGGGATCTTAGGAATCATACTTGAATAATAGTTTTAGACTTATCCAAGTGGGAGACTGTTGGATTAGGTGTCTAAGCCCATAACTATTATGGTATGTATTCGACCCGAGAGTAGCATGGTCCATTTGGTGCATATCATCAGGACAATTTGTTAGGATGGACTTTTGAGAGAAGGTTATTTATGGTTTATTAATATATTATAAGTAATAATATATTAATATGAAATCATATTTTTTAATTAGTAGTGATCAAGAATTAATTTGGAATTAATTTAGTGGTCGAAAGAGACTAATTAAATCTATGGGGACTAATTATGATAATTAGTTATATTTATATGTGTTGGGCTTATTATCCATGTTGGACCAAGTTTATGTATGGATACATAAAGAGTTGAGCCACATGAACCATGGATCATAAAACCCATAGGTATGGATTTGGGTTATATCCATGACCCTAGAAATCCCACATATAAATAGATATTTCATTGCCCAAAATCGTCACTTGTATCTTTTAGAGTCATGGTGTCTTTTGTGTGCATGGAATTCTCTCTCAGTTATCCTTTGTCCATGGTGTGTTGTGATTCCATTTGAGGCTTCCACACTATTGGGGCTAAGCTCTTTAAGGCCAAATCCACCAAGAATTCAAGCTCCATCAAAAGGTATGTCATGCTAACTAGTATATTATAATTTTATGTTAAATGCATGCTAGTTGTAAGATTAATACCTTGGAAACCATTTGCATGTATAATTAGTGAAAACATAGATCCAAAGTATTTAGGGTTGTATGTGCACCATAGGATGTTGTAGTATACCAAAACCCAACATATACTACTACTCTCCTTTGGTATCCCTTATTTCCGCCATTACGCGTAACCATCTCCCTCCTTGTATTTAGGAACACAACCTCTATCATTAGTTCTTACCACCAAACTTTATATTTATATGTTTTGAGTACTGCGACGTAAAGTTTATTTTTGTGTATTCGGATATTTTGTATAAATAAATCTCATACAATACAGGGCCTCTGGTTTGATTTGTTATTTTCAAGTTTGGATGTTACTTTGCCACGTTATTAATGGTGAAACAATCATTGGGTTTTATATTATTATAATATACTATCTGTACCAACTTATCAAGTTGGGCATTTGGTCTAGTGGTATGATTCTCGCTTTGGGTGCGAGAGGTCCCGAGTTCGATTCTCGGAATGCCCCTTTTTTTCCTATTCAACTAATTTTCTTATTTCCCTCCAAATTCCCACTCTTTTTCCCCGTTTATCGCTTCGCATCCCCAAAATCCACAACTCAAATTCATATTACTGTCTCTCACCCCAATTTCACTATCATTTTCTGTCATTTCCTTTGTAATCTTACCTAATCAACGTTATACTTTCAGTTTTTCTACGATTAAGTTTTCAGTTTTTCTTTTAAACTTTTTAGTGATCACTAGCTTCTCAAAATAAGCTTCTACGTCGATCCTTCCATCTTCTGTAGAATAATGCCGGTTTTCTTGTTTCTAATCGGTTTTTGTTGTAGGCGTTTGGTGTGAATTGAAAAACTGATTAGGGTTTTGGTTTTGCACAAAGTGTTTAATTTATGGCCGCATTAGACGATCGTGAAGCGGGTACATATTGTTTTCCCTTCTATTGTTACATTTCCCAATAATAAGCATTGACACACTCGAATATATGATCTAAATATGTATGTGTGTGTTTTACTTGTATATCATCTGTTCATTTCTAGTTGTTCCAGAAAAAAAAGGAACTACGCTTTGTGATTTGAGGAGGTCAAAAGGTTGGCATTTATAGTTTTTGGTTATGCATTTTGAATTTTTGATAGCATAGCTAAGGACTTGAATTTGTATATCAAATACTTCCAAATAGAATGATTTTGGTGGTGAATAAGTGACATTTGTTAATTACATGGTTTGATGGTTTGAGGTGAGTTTATTTTCTATATCAGAGGGAGTACTCTGTATTTAGTTGAAATTTCATGGTGGATTGAATTTTAAATCAAATCAATGCTTTTCAGTTTCCTAGTAATGGAACAGAGAATGCTATGGATTCTAGTATACTCTGTATCAGGTTGGGATTTCCAAGCTCAAAGCAATGCAAAGTTCTTAGTTTCATTGTAATCAAGAGAAATGCTATGGATTCTTGTTTAGAATTACAGGGTTAAGAACGATCCATGATTAATCTCATATACTATGGAGCACTTTCAGAAATTGTATATGAAGGCTCGTAGCATGAACTAAGTCTTATGTGCATCCATTCTTGATTCAACAGGCAACAACCTTAATGTAAGTGTTGAGGATGGTCATCTTATTGCTGGGGATTTTGATTTCACCGAAGAATTGGAAAGCCCATTTCAGAATTTGGATGCAGATACTGAGGAGTTGGATATTTCACATTTTGTTGGCGACCTGAGAGCCCTAATGGTAGATGATAGTGAGGATGAAATTGTGCTGGATAGTGATGATGAACCTATCTCTGAGCAAAAACAGGGAAAAATAAGAGGTAAGCCAATTAACATATTGAAACAGGCATCTTGCTGCTTTGCAAAACAGTCATTAATGTCAAGAATTAGAAATCCCATTTGAAATTGTGTTTTTTTGCATATCTTTTATGTTTATTCCTCATAAAAATATCATGTTGTGGCTTTGAGAAATTATGCTTTTGACTCATTTGTAGTTATATTTCTTATCAGGACGTTTATGGCGACATGCACAATCAGTAGTTGATGTTCGTTCTTCAGCGGGAAGCAATTTGACAGACAAAGTAACTGATAATATTCCCAGTGAAAGAAAAGAAGAGAGAAACTTAGTGTCACATAATGAAAATGAAACTGGGAGCAGGGATACAGACACAAGATGTTCAAAAGGAGATAAGCTTGTTAATTTGAATGCCTCTTCCAATAATTTTGAGGGTGAGAATGCAGTAGTTGATGAATCTCAAGAACCTGGAGAATCATCAGAAGCTGATGCATTGGACTTTGTGGATCATTTTCTGTCAGTTAGTGCTGTAAACTCGTCTCCAGAAGTCAAGATTCTGAAATATGATGGGCCAAGATCACCTTTTAGTTCATGTGCAAAAGGGTCCCAAAAATTGGCAATGAAGACCAGTTTTATGACCAAAATTGGTGTTTCAACCTTCGATTGGGATAACGATCAACCTGATCATGGAGGGGGGTTCTTTTTGGAAAAGAAAACAGAACCCGACATGCAAAGAGATAAACATGTGAGTGAAAGATGCAAATCCAAACAGGTGCCTGGAAATGATAGCAATGAGAGGGATGAACCACCAGATATGTTTGATGTTGGTTTTAACACTCAAATGGCAGCTGAAGCTATGGAAGCCTTGCTATATGCCACACCTCCACATATTGATGTTAATGAACATAAAAGGGTCAAGAATCCACCCATTGAGAATCCATCCAAAAAGTTCTCATTTCCTTTGAGTGCTAACTGTGATTCACAAACCAATGGAATAAGTTTTAAGCAAAAGAGGGTTGCTAACAAAAGACATAAAATGTCTACTTCCTTCCACAATAAAAACCAAAGAGAGTTGAATCTTGAGTTACCGAATCTAGGAAAGGCTGAAAACTGCACAAATGGGGATAATCTTACTGAACCAAAGAAGAAGGTTTATGAGAAATCTTTGAAAGTTTATAAACGAAGGAAGCAAAAACAAGATGCAGACAAGGAAAACTTAAAACCAGATAATGAAGTTAAAACCTTTTCACCTGTGGCTTCTCGAACCAGACGTGGGTCCTCTGTAAAACGTTCACAAAGGACTGCAGATGCAACATATAATGGTAAGCAGATTGATGTACTTCATAAAACAAAATTGGGTGATTGGAAGTTTGATACATGGAAGTGGCCCAAAAAGAGAAGGACATGTAGAAATATGAGACAAAATGCAAAATTAACAAACACCTTAAATGTTCAATCTTCTGTAGTCAAGGGTGGCAATGGTGAGATGGAAGGGAACTTCAGGGAAGCTTCTTTCATGTCAAGTGTAAAGAGGAAAGCACGCTCTGCTTCCATATACAGGTCAACATCTGGAAAGAAACTTAGCAACACTAAATGTGTTTCAATGAGGATAAAGATGATTCCAAAAACTTTAAATGAATTTGAACACTCATTCGAATCTATACCAGCTTTAGGTGGTGAGGAGAAGATAAAAGATTTATTATCAAATGGAAAGAACAAGACACCATCCATTATGAGTAGCGCCTCTAGGACTTCTGATCAGGGTATGCAATATGCATTATCATAACAAACTTTTCACAAATTGCACTGGAATTTATTACTTTTTGTTATCCTTTTTACATCATCAAATTTTAAAAAGTGTCTATTCAGTAGGTCCACCCCGGAAGCAACTGCACAAGAAAAGCTCTACAAGTTCCTCTCTCAGGAATGAGCTTCCTAGATTGGGATTTTCCGAATCTGCCCCTGATTTTATGTCAAAGGATTTGAGAAGACGTAGGAGTAAGGTAGAAATCCGTGTCTTGTTCAGCCAAAGCCTTGATGATGATGTGGTTAAGCAGCAGAGAAAGGTTCTCCAGTTTGTTTCAAAAAGCTTTTCTAGATCTAATTTGCTTTAAATAGCTTTTCTTGATCATGAATTTTGTATTTCTTTCGTGAAGATTCTGAAAAAGTTGGGAACTTGTATGGCAACGGATTGCTCAGATGCTACACATTTTGTGGCTGATAGATTTGCAAGAACAAAGAAGATGTTGGAAGCAATGGGTTTGGGAAAACAAATTGTGACACCCTTGTGGCTAGAGAGCTGTGATCAGGTAGGGTGTATTATTGATGAGAAAAATTACATCCTTAGAGATGCTAAAAAGGAAAAACAGATCGGCTTTAGCATGCCTGTTTCATTGTCTCGTGCAACAACACATCCACTTCTAAAGGTAACTGATAATGATTCAATATTACATAATAAAAAGTTTATATGAATATGCTCATTAATTATATGCCCTTAAAATACCAGGATCGAAGAGTCTTCATTACCCCAAATGTAGAACCTGACAGAGAAATGATTAAAAACTTGATCAAGGCTGTTCATGGTCAGGTGTGATCATGCTCTTATTTTATTTTGATGATTCTAAAATTAAAAAAATATATAAAATATAAAAGAATTGCTATTGTCATGCATATATGGTATACCCTTATTAGAAATCATGAAACTAATGTTATAATGAGATGCTCCATAGGTCATGGAAGACATTGAGCAAGCTAGCATGGAGTGCAAGACCTCAGATGATATGTTAATACTGTCTTGTGAACAAGATTATGTATTATGTGTTCCATTCTTAGACAAAGGTATAGATCCATATATTATGTATCAAGTATGTTGCTATTTCTTGTATTTAGCTGTGTTTTTTATGGCTCCATTAAATGTTAGTTTGAAAGTTAGATGAAAAACATTAAGTATATGTACTTGCAGGTGCAGCAGTTTATAGTTCAGAACTCTTACTAAACGGGATCATTATTCAGAAACTAGAATATGCCAAGTAAGTAGAAAAAAACTATTATTAGAATAATGATCTAATTTTTATTTTAAATAAAGCAATTTACAAAGTTACAAATGCTTGATTATTATGCCAAGACGACTTTTAATCTGTTGGACCCTTTTGGCATATGATTCTGTCTCTAATTTTATCATTTTGATCCATCAGCATTAAAATATAACACAAAGTGACCCATATTTACACAAATTGGTTGAAATAGGCATAGTAGTATTATTTATTTAGCCAATTTTACATTTTCAGGCATCAACTGTTCAAGGGGCATATTATAATGAAGCGCTATGCAAGGAAACGGAAGAAAAATGGAAGTGGGGATCTTGATGTAGTGTAGCTCATGGTGGTTAGAAGAAACATCAACATCAACATCAACATTCTGATGTTTTGTACATTTGTTCTCATATTATAGCGGCATGTCAAAATGGCTGTTTTGAAATATGGTTTTCATCACTTTTTGCTACAAATCCCAATTCCTAAATGTCATTTTGATTCTTGTTGTAGTCGAATGAGGATTTTTGGCATACCTTTTTCCTACATACAGTAAATATGAAATTTAGATGAGATGCCATGAGTTCTAGTAAGCTCGTTCTTTTCCCTTTACTTAGTAGTGAGGGTATGTTTGGGTTAGCTTTTTTTTTTTTTTTTTCTTCATAAAAGTGATTTTTAAGAAAAGTGCTTATTAGCTTATGGCTTTTAGGAAAACCTGATTTTAAAAAGTGTTTGGATAAGAAAAGCTTCTTTTTAAAAGTAAAATGACTTAAAAAACTAAAATTTTCTAGCCTTTTGAAAGTTTTACTTTTTCCTATCCAAAAAGCTATTTTAAAAAGCGTTTTTTAAATACACAAACACTTTTTTAACTTATTAGCTTTTTAAAAAACTAATAAGTTATTTTAAAAAGTTATCCCAAACACCCGCTTAGTTGCCTTAATTTTTTTTGGTATTAACATACTATGTTTTTTTTTAAGAGCATGCACAACAGGAGAATTTATTTTTCGTTAGAGCTTTTTCATGAATAAACTTAGAGTAAAAAAAAACGTAATTTAGTCTCTATGACAGTATAGCTTTTTCAAGTTGCTTATTTATGTGATCTTGTATAAGTTCTCTAATTCTAATAGGTAGAAAACCTATGTGACCCACTAAAGGATTGAAAAATCTTATGGGAAGAACTTGTTAATTAACAAGCACTTTGAAAAAAATTGTGTTTGAAAGCATACATTTTTTGGTCTAGATTTGTGTTTGAAAGCATAAATTTGTGTTTGTAAATTTGATTTTGGTCTAGAAAGCATACATTTTTTAATATTTTTAAGAAAAAAATTACCTTGCCAAACAAAACTAGAATTCCAAGTTTGCAAAACAAATCTAGGTTATACTACCTACTTTGCCTTGTTTGGGAGTGGTTCAAGTTAAGTTGACTTGGCTTGTAGAGAGTCTGCAAAAAAAAAAAAATAATAAAAAAAAATAAAAACAAAAATGTAGGCTAACAATATTTTGATTATTTTCCATCAACATGTTTTCATGTTTGTTTCTTTTCGGTGGGCACAACCAGATGATATGAAGAGACGGTAAGTTTTTTGTAGAAGAACAAGCTTCTGGTCAGAATAGTAACACGATTGCATTCCAACTTGTTAATTTACCATTAAATGTCAATGGATTTATATCAAGCCTGCGACAAAAAAATTTACTGGAGCAAATCAAGTTTTTTTATGGAGCTCCCATGGCAGTGATTCCACCCAACAAGCAGATCATGAATGGAATCGTGGGTCTTTCTAATCCGGTGATGAACAATAATCTTGTTTCAAATTGTATGATGGGGGAATGGTCGGAGGACTTATAGTTTTTGTAGGATCTTTGGAAGTTTCATCGGATAGAATTGTAAAGTAGAGATGATGTAGGTTGATGTGGTGCGACAGGAAATAGAGAGATATTGTGACATCCCCATTTTCACGGCCAGAAAAGACCGATTTTGTTTATGCTTTATAAAAATCAGAGTACTTCTTTTGATAAAAATGTTGCGGAATTTGTTCCCAGTAAAACATGATAAGTACGTTATCAAAGCATTTCTGAAGAAATGTATTTTTATTCATTTTAAAACATTGGGGTGTCATCGTCAATACAGAAACATAAGCATAAACAGAACTTACATTCATTTACACTAGTGATCTACATCTCTTTTAAATCCCTCAGTGTAAAGTAGCTTCATATCGACACATGTGATACAAATAAGCTTGAGTGGGTCGGGTTGGGAAACCTGGTGAGTACATAGGGTTTTCAACCCACAATAATATATTATTATGTTAAACATCAAACAATCAACCCAATTACCCATCCCCCATTATCTTCTTTACTCTTAAGGATCTACCCTAAGATTCAGTTATTCCTCGTTCATTCATTCCTAAGGAGTATCCTAAGGAATCGACACTAAGTCTGCATAGTCACCAGGGTTTATCTCGTTTATTGACAACATCGTTTTTAAGAGTCCACTCGTAATACCTGTCAATGGGTTTTTAGAGTACACCGGGTGAACACATCGTTCACAACACCTACAGGTTGCGAGCCTGCTAGTGTTCCACTAGACTGTCTAGAATAGTCCGTGGTTGTCATCCATACTCTGCTAGATGACGGGGCCATCGCTTGGGTCATTGTTTGGCTCATCGCTTTGGCTCATCGCTTAGGTCATCGCTTCGCACCATATTTTATCACTCATATATCATCGCTCATCATTCATCTCTCATCTTTCATCGCTCATTATTTATCTCATCTTTCATCGCTCATCATTTATCTCACCTCTAATCTACCCATGTTTTACCCAACACATTTTGTAGATATAAAATACATATACAATTTATATCATTTAAAACATGTATAAAACGTTTCATCCAGCATAGACAGCAAGTATTCAGACAGTATACACACATAGCACGTAATTTATATAAAATACTTCATATCTATGTGTAAGATGAAAGTAACTATGCACTCACGTGATTAGGTGGTGATTCTGAATTCGGACAGCGCTTCGTTACTTCTTAAAACAATTTCCCTCGACAAAACCTAGTATCATTACCATTAGGGTTTGGCTCAATATTCACCGAGACTAATTAATAGTCTAGCTATTATTATTATTATATAAGCGTTAAGCAACACTCTTATACAACTCATAATAATAGCCCAAATAATTATTTTAAGGTCCTAATAACATTACTATATTAAAACATAAGTTATACTAAAGATAGGTTAGGCGTAACTCACTTACAGCGGGTTTCCTTGGAAACCGGGCTCCGCTGGAGCAGAGTTTCTGAGCCGAAGGCTCTTCTCTTCGGAGCCGTCAGGCGCTCCGGGAGCCTCGGGGCTTCCTTCGGGTGCTAGGGGGTTAACCTAGGCTTGGGGGGGTTTTGGGGGCTAGAGAGAGAATCTAGAGAGAGAAAGAATAGTGTGGAAAGGTGTGAGAAATGGAGGAACCCGACACCTCTATTTATAGGGGGGCTGGCAGCTGGACTCGCCGAGTTGGAGGATAAACTCGCCGAGTTCATGCATGTGTCACCCTTCTGGTGGTGCCACGTGTCCTCTTTCTGGTGGTGCCACGTCACCTCTTTTGCAGCAGCACCCTGCCGACTTCTAAACCCCGTAACTTTCGCATACGAGCTCCGTTTTCGACGTTCTTTTTTTCCACGCGTAGGTAAAAACAAGATCTACAACTTTCATTTAGACTCCGTCGGCTAACTCTCGACTGATCTTAAATTTAACAGTAGGAGGAGATTAGACTGTTAAATGACCGCGAAGAATTTGTAACTCCTTCATACGGACTCCGTTTTCGTCTGTCTTTTTATCGTTGAGTTCCTATTAATGAGATCTTCAACTCTCATTTAGGTCCCGTAAGCCAAAAACCGCTCGAACTAAAATTCGAGTTTCGGGCTATACACTGCCAAGCCGAAACTTCGAAAAATCATAACTTCCTCATATGAAGTCAGATTTGGGCGTTCTTTTTATGGACGCTCTCGGTTTAACGTTTTCTACGGCTTTTGTTTAGATTGCTAAGGCTAGAAGTCGCTTTATCGTAAATTCACTATTTACGTCTCCCGGTGCCGTGCCGGTTTTGCCGTAAAACTTCGACGGGTCATAACTTCTTCGTTATAACTCGGATTTCGGCGTTCTTTATATGTACGGAAACCTTGAGACATATTGTACAACTTGGTTAAGATTATTTATTCTAAATAATCTTTTTGTCGAAAAGTCGTTTTCGACCCTATTATCTCTAAATTGACTAGCCCAGATCTACGAACGTTACAGATATGAAGGTAAGGATGGATTGCCGACGAAGGCTAAAGAATAGCAACTATTGACGGTTTAGACATGTAAGATTCAGATGGGGTTACCGACAATAAGAAGGAAAGAAGGGTGGTGGGTGGGTAAGAATGAAAGAAAGAAACGTGAGGGAAGAGATGATGAACGGGGTTAAGGATGTCAAAAAGTCCTGTGGGACCCCGTTCCCGCGGGGGCCCCGTCCCGTTTGGGGGAATATTTTTTTTAAAAAACCGGGGGCGGGGACGGGGGCGGGGGCAAAATTAACCCCCGTTTTAATTTCGGGGGCGGGGGAGGGGATAGGCAATCTCGTCCCGAAATCCCCATGGGGACCCTGTTAATAAATTACACATATATTAATTATATAAATATAAAAAACAATAACATGATTTTGAGCTTCCAAAATTCATAAAAAAAAAACATGTTTTTAAGTTGTTAGTATAATGTTTTTAAGATGTCATAACTTTTTTATTTTTAACATGTCAAATTCTGCTATAAATAGTTATTTGTTATCTAAAAAATAGTTTCTTTTAGCCTAAATAACAACTTCTTTTAGCCCAAAAAAAGGCAGCCAAAAATTAATCGGGGGCGGGGGTAATAAAGATGATTTGGGGGCGGGGCGGGGACGGGGGAACGGGGAAATTTCGGGGGCGGGGGCGGGGGATGCACTCTCCGTCCCGTTTGCCCCCGTTGACATCCCTAAACGGGGTTAAGGTAATTGTTTATTTTCTTTTATTTTCTTTTATATTTATAAATAGATTTTGTTAAAAGAAAAGATAAAAGAAATAAAAAAGGATAAAAAGGTCATTTCAGGTGGATCAATGACTAATAAGGTAAGATTTAGAAGCCATATGGACTAACCACGTAAGTTTTAAAAACCACAAGATCATATTTGTCAAAAAAAAAAAATAATAATAATAATAATAATAATAATAAGGACTAAAGTTGTGACACAGATACCATAATTTTGTCAAACAAATTATGAACGGTAAAGGCGTATATAATGAAGTTATCAATAAACCAAAGGATCATTATTGTACTGATTACAAAAGTTGCATTTGACGTAATTGGGTCAAGGCGGGGAGCGATAATCCAAATAGGAAAAGTAAAATTAACCAGATGCCTGAAGGAATCAACAATGGTTCCTCTCTCCAGAACCCCTCAAATGATTCAGGTTCTCTCTTATAACCCTTTAATTTCAATGCTAGATCGTAACATATACTTCATTAAAGATTAAATCTTGTTAAACATTCTCAGTTTTGCTGAAATTTGTGATTATTTTGGTTGTTTTATGCCTTTGACCCCTTCTTCACGAGCATAAGGTATGGCTCGTGGTTTTCCGTTTTGTTCGTTTAGCTAAGTTTCTGCATTACAGACGAATTTGTGCTTGTGCTTGATTTCATCTGAGTAAAAATCATGTATGAAAAGGACAATGGTATTTGAAAATTGATGTAAACATGGTATTTGGATGAGAAAGTAGGGATCTGATTTGTGATTTTGAATATTCAGGCGAAATTAGAATGAAATTCAATCAAAATTGGTGTGCTTCCCCCTCTAAAGTTGCATCTCACTTTGGAACAAGTGGTGTTGCTGTTGCTGCAGCCACCGGCATCACACATCCATTAGGTTTCTTCCTTCAGTTTTCAATAATTTCATGTTTCACTTGTTTTATATCAATCCCTATATACTGAAATTTGATTTGATTTGTTTCTTTTTTCCAATTTGTATGTAGATGTACTCAAAGTTAGACTGCAAATGCAACTTGTGGGACAAAGAGGTCCGCTAATTGGAATGGTATGAAGTGGTCATGTCGGGTATTATTCATCACAAATATCTGCTTTAACAACAAGAATTGAATCAGTCATGATGCTTGGGTGTTTACAGGGACAAACTTTTGTTGAAGTTGTTAAGAAAGAAGGAACTCGTTCCTTGTATCTTGGTTTGACACCAGCATTGACAAGGTCAGTTCTTTATGGAGGTCTACGTTTAGGTTTGTATGAACCTTGTAAAAATTTCTGTGAACTGGCCTTTGAGTCCACTAACATCTTCATGAAGATTGCATCTGGAGCTGTTTCTGGTGCTTTTGCCACTTTGCTTACCAACCCTGTTGAAGTTCTAAAGGTAAGGTAAAAAAAAAAAAAAAAAACACTTTCTGAACCTTTTAGGCAAAACAAACGGGTCATCCGGTTGGGTGATGGGTCAAAAAACACTTTTTTAATCCATATTATTGACTTTTTATCCATAACATATTGAATAGGTGCGTTTGCAAATGAACCCTAATGCACGTAGTCGTAGAGGAGCAATTAGTGAACTGCAGAAAATTGTCAGAAAAGAGGGCGTAACAGCTCTTTGGAAGGGGGTGGGACCCGCTATGGCCCGGGCAGGAGCTTTAACAGCATCACAGCTAGCAACATATGATGAATTCAAGCGGGTGAACTTCTAAAAGTGTGTTTTTTTTTCACCTTTATATTTAATTCCTGTTATAAATTTTGTTTATATGGCGCTATGATGTAGGTCTTAATAAAACGGACACCTCTTGAAGAAGGATTCTATCTTCATCTCATGTACACATACCTACCTACAATCTTTCAATTTACACGAAATACTTAAATACTATATTAATAACTTGTCACATTGTAAATACATTACATATATGATATATGTATTTTTTTTATATTTAATTTCAAACTGTGACTTACATGATGTGAAGGTCGAGTACAGTAGCGGGTTTGGTGAGCACACTGATAACTGCACCTATGGACATGGTTAAAACGCGTCTCATGTTACAACGAGAATCTATGAGTGATGGAGCTTACAAAAACGGGTTCCATTGTACATATAAGGTAACTTCTTTGCTTATGCTCCTTTTTTTAAATAACTTATAATCACAATTCACAAATGTTGTTGGAATGAATTCTAGGTTCTGATCACAGAGGGACCTCGAGGACTCTACAAAGGGTGAGACCCCCAACAATACTTGTTCCCTTAGCTCCTGTGTTTGTGTTTGTGTTTGTGTTTGTTACACCTGACATGACAGAAGTCACAGAACAGGTTGTATTGTGTCTGGTGTGTGTGTGTTATTGGAATGAGACTGAGACTGAGACTGATGTCATAGGACAAATTGCAAGAAGGTGGGACATGGACTCGCACTCAATCTCTCGTCTGTGCAAAAGACATGAATGCCCTCATTCTTATGTAATTGATGCATGAGGATTTGACTTCAAAAATATTGCAGGGGCTTTGCAATTTTTGCACGATTAGGTCCACAAACAACAATCACATTTATATTGTGTGAGAAGCTGCGAGAAATTGCTGGATTAAAAGCAATTTAGTCTCTAAGTCTATGGTAACATCTTGCTTTTTCCTGCATATTTGTTTACATTTTTCAAGCTGAATGCTCATGATCACTAGAAAGTAGAAACCTGGTTGAGAATAAATTTGTAGTATTTTAGACGATATTTTTAGGGTTATCTCTATGAAGTCTGGAGCTAAGCCGAGTTTATTCATTGGATCATACTCTCATTCATGAAATTCTATCAATGTATCAAGAAATAATTTGGTTTGTATTGTGTAGTTTTACTAGATTGAATGTTGTAAATTGTTTTAATTTGATTTTAGGTTCTCTCTATAAATTGCTTTCCAAATTCCAATTTTTCATCATTCAGTTTCAACTCTTTTTTGTTATTGGTTGAATTTAATTTGTTTTCTGCTATAATGGTTTACTGTTTAGTCTTTTTAAGGAATTATAATTATAACGTTAAGATAGATTTGATTTTTGTGATAAATTTGTTACTTTGTTATCAGTCATCATCGATTATTGAATATTGATTTATATAATTTTATATGGTAGATATTATTCGAAATTATTTACTATGTTTATATCCAAAATCCAAATTTCTGATTCTGCCATTGAGTAAACATTGAAACCAAAATTAAATAAATTATGAGATGACATAGAAGAAGAAAAAAAAACATCATAAAAACTCAAAAATCTTAAAAGAATATTCATGGCAATATGCCAATTACAAAATAATAACCAGCTCGTAAAACAAAAAAATACTATCAACTAAAAAACATGTTCTTAAACTTTTTATTCATATTATATACATTTAAATTAGTTTTTATGGTTTTCTCATCTTATATTCAGTTATTCACAATTGAAAAATGACAATATGGGTGTTACCGTGTTAAGACTACTAGGTATGGGTCATATACTGTGTGGAGGATTCTATGTGGCACCCCTTTAACATTGTTAAGACCAAGCAAACATCATCTCACCTTCATGTTATGTGGAGAGATCTTGAAGGCTCAATATAGCTCAAGCGTGGGGAGAAAGGCTTCACCAATCAGCTTTCAAAAATAAAAATCTGCTTGTTTTTTATTTATTTTTTCCTCTCAAATATGGTATGGTTGTGTAGTAGGTATTTCCTATTGAATATAAAATGGTATGGAGGTGATATGATGTGGCCAACAAAATGGTATGGATGGTATGCACCAACCTAAGTTTTTTTTTTTTTTAGGTAAGTTACAAACACGTGATGCACACGTGCTAGTTAAAGATCCGTGTATACTTTTTCAGTTTTTCTAGAACAAATACTTTTGCTTACCTAATATAAAAGTTATGGATAATCACCAACATCACCATAAACTTACTTTATTTGAGAGGGAAAAAGAGATATGTTCTTGGTTTAACACTTTAACTGTAAATCTATAGCCACTGCATTTGAACTTTAATTTTCTCTACCACTCAAAGTTCTCCAATAAATTCCATCCTAATTTTCTATTTCAGCCATCTGCCGCCGTCGCCCACCTCACCATTAGAATATATATATATATATATATATATATATATATATATATATATATATATATATATATATATATATATATATATATATAGGGGGTGTGTATGAAAAAACGCATGCTCATTAAAGTTGATAACTTTTCTAAAGTTTGCCACTTACATCATTATAGAATCCAAGTGATTAACAGTACTACTTGAATTCATTTCCATTGATTCCTTTGAAACTATGGAATGTAATTGGAAGATGAAGAATAGTATGATTGATGTGACACCATTCTTGTTATTTGAGTCATCTGCTGATTCTGAGGATGCCATCACAGATGATGTTCTTCGGCATCATTATTATCATAATCATCATCGAGAAAAACATGAAGAAAAAGAAGAAGAATCCATTGATGATGACGTTGAATCCTGCAGTTATGATCACTCATTCCATGTTAATGTCAAAACCACCCATGATAACCATCATCAAGTTCATGAGTATGATCATGGTCATGTTTATGATGGTGATAGAGAAGAGATTGATGATGATGATGATGATGACGACGGAAATTGGGGTGAGAGCAAGATGATAGGCCAAGAAAAGAGATGTCATGAGTTGTGTGTTGATTCTTCAAGTATGGATGACAGACAATTCTGGGAAACTTGTCTGGATTCATGATTTTATTCATCAAAAAAAAAAAAAGGAAATAACGAATCCACACAAAGATGGTTCGGTTCTAACTCAAACTTTGGTGTTTGAGCAGATTGAGCTTTTATTTGTCACGTATTTGATTGGTAGGAATGAATGTTTGGGTTATATATGATCTACAATCATGTTTGGTAATTAAAAAAAATGTTTGGGCAAGAATTAAAATCCGTTAGACAAAGCGAATATATAAAGAAAATATGAAAGAATTAGAAATTGTCACGTATTTGATTGGTAGGAATGAATCTATATTTGAAGCAATGACCTTTTAATTATCATAATGAAATTTCAATGAACTTAGACAGTCTCCTTTTTTTACTTTTTGCTTTAAAGGTGTCGTGGATGTTTAAGAAAGTGATGGTGGACGCTAGAAAAATAATCTAATAAGGACGACTGTTTATTAATAAGTCAAACAAAACAACCCTGGCCCCTAGTCCCTAGACCAAGATGAGGAAGATATGTTAGAAGATTCGCATAAAGCAAGGCATGGCATGCTGGTTTACATATTACAAAGTTATTAAAACATGACATTGGCAAGCAGGTTTTGATATGCAGCAACTGCTTAAAGTTTTCAAGAATTGGAAAATTATCAGTTCATACATTCCCATTCCGATTCCGTCTACCATGTCGACCTACGATCTGTATGGCGGTTTCAGTTTTTTTAGAAACCAGACTATTAAGACTAGCACCCGATGATTCCTCTTGAAAGTCAAACCCGCTCGTTGGACTTGAACATTGTGTCACCAGATGATCCAGTTCTCTTTTGAACCGATCCTTTGCGTTTTTGTTCTCCTCAATTCGTTTCAGAAAATTTTCTTCAATCTCACTTAGCGATGATTCCGCTTCATCATCATCTTGTTCTTGTTCTTTGGACGATGATGATGATGATGATGATGATGATGATGGTTGTCTACGCGGTTCACATCCGGTTTTCATCTCTTGATGATGGTCGGAAGGACGCGAAACGGTTGAGACGCCGGCAGTTGTCTCTTCACGTTCTCTTAGGGTTTTGGCGATCAATGTCTTGAGCAGGTTCATCACTTGTACAGCGTGCATTAGAGCTGTCAATGGATCCGACATCTAAAATCCAAACCATTTATAATCAGTGAAATGACCAAGACAGAAGATGAAAAGGAATTTTCATTAGATTTAGTATTACTACCTGAGTCATGTTGGGGGCAAAGACCATGGCGATATTTCTGGCGTTCATTTTATTGGATTCTTGTTGTTGGGCGACATCAGACATGAGATGAACAGCCCAATTAAGCAATGCAGATTGTGTAGGGTTGAGCTGTTTCACAAGCTCAACGCGCTCTTCCTCTGTGTTACACTGTAGAACCTCATCGGGTGAGAGGCCATCAAGGACGCCACTTGGAAGCTCCCGGAACCAGGCTTTGATTAAACCCGCAAGACAATGGACCTCGATGTTTTCGGGCACCGTGCCTCTGTTTAGCTGCTCCCGCACCCGCTCCTCTTGACTGTTCTCCGGGTTTATACGGAAAATTCCTTCCGCCTACAAAATACACAATCACTCACTCACTTAATGCAGAAACTGAGAAAAAAGATTTCCAGCTCCATCAATTCTTGTGTTTGTTAATTTGTTTGGTTTGTTAGTTTGTAGGAATGGAATGAATCTTTTTTATCAAACTTTTATATGACATTCTATTTTAATTTTCTTTTAGGCTTTGTCACATTTGATCCCTACATTTAGTAACATTCTATTTTAATTTATACCCTAGTTATATTTAGATATTAGATTTCTTTTAGGTTTTAATTTTAGTTAATTAACTAATTGATTTAATAAACAAAATAAAAATTAATATATTTTATGAAAAAAATTATATAATTTAAAAATACTTGTCAAAACTTTCAAAATACTTCTTCTTCACTTTTTCTAACATTTCTAGGGCCAACTAATTCATTTGGGCGAGGATTAAAAAATATTATGTATTATAAAATATTGCGGTTACCCAGTTAGGTAATCTTTTATCATTATTTATTTTATTTTTTAAACTACATATGTGAAAATTTTATCATCTTTTATAGCTCGGGAAAAAAAATACACGACAAATGTTAGTAAAATGATAAATTAAATCAGTGGGCTTAATAAAAACTTTAAGATAGATAAAGGAATAATTAGTTAATTTTAGAAGGAAAAAATAACTTTTGAAAAGGTTCACCTATTTGATAAAAGATTTTTGTCAACTAAAAGGTAATGGAAAATTGATGTGACAAAAGTAAAAAGTCTATCACATAACAACACAATGTGTAGTTTTAAGTCTATCATATACATTATTTTTATCGTAATTAATAAATTTTTATTTACAAAATTTAACAAAAGAAAAGCCGCTTAAAATCCAAGTAATATATGAATAAAAAATATATGTTCTAGTTACTTTTAGGAAGTACCATTGTTATAAATCAAAAATATCCTGAAAGGGATTTGTGTTATAATAATCTAGTTAAATAAAAACGGATTATATTGCAAATTTTCATTCCATTCCAAGATCAAATGAAGAAAAAAAACACCCCATGTTTGTTGCACTCCATTCCCTTCTCGATTTGTCAAACCAAGCACTACCCAAATTCGTGGTATTGATTGGGGATTGTGTGTGTGGGACAAAACATAACACTAAGATATTGTACTATGTTTGGCTTGCATTGGGTGTGGAGGGACAAAAACTGCAAATTTTTGTCCCAACCAAAAAGTTGAAATAAGTGGAGAGAGACTCGCTTTCGATCTCTTATTAATGGAAAAGACGTGAATGCCCTCTTCATAATCATCATCATCATCATCAAAAATAGCCATAGAAATTTTGTCCAGACCTATATAACAAATGGTGTCCTACAGAGGGACAATCCACAAGCACTTTTCATTGTGTGAGATTCTACCAAATACTTATCTCTTTTTCGTATGATATATTGATATATGTAGCAAGTAGCAAGGAGCATACCTTTAGACCTCCTTGAGCATATAAACGTTCCTGCATGAGCAACAGAATTGTAGGGACACTGTTGCCTCTTGAATCATAAGAACACTGCATCGATTCTGCTGAAACCCCAAAAACGCTTACACTACACAACAACAAAACATATGTCAAAAACACATTCAAAGTGACCAAATGCAAAAATGTCTCCAACCCACAATTTCAATTTACTGCAAAAACATTTTATCACTAGTTTCACATAACAAGTTAAAACCCTAGCTCTTCTTAGTTTGCATCAACAGAGTGTATAACAATGGATATATACAACTGAATAATCGCTTTTAAAACATTAATCCAACCTGCCCTTGCTCAAATTTTCAGTCAATGGACCCCAATTATTCAACTTTGGATTTCAAATTTTCATTATTTTGCTAGTAATATGAGGGTCCCAATTTGTCATTTGCTGCAATTTCCTTTGACAAATTTGCACCATTTTCTGTTTGTCAATGAACTCATAAACCCTAGATTTCCGACTATTTACAGAAATTTCAACACTAAAGTAGAAGTGGGTTCCATTCGGAATCGATTTATATCGTAAGGTACACATACGTTTTTGAAATCTAGAGCAAATTGTTCTTAAAAGTGATTAATTAATGAAGAATGGCAAAAAATTATAGCACCTGGCACTGGGGGCTCGACAGGGGATTTCAACTTCAAATTCAACAGGAAGACCTAAAAATCCATGGAATCGATCGAAGGTAACATGAGTCAAATGCTGAACATCAGTTGGCCAACCGATTTCCATATGATGAAGAGTTGCTGGTTTTGTTAATTTTGATTCTTCCCTCTGATCATCAACTCGGCAAGCTGCCATTGATTTTCTTAGAGCTGCTATGATGAGAGCCACTAAGGAGAGGTGGTTTTGGTGTTCTTTTGAAGAACCCCCTTTTGTTGTGTCATTTCCGGCACAACCGCCGCCACATACGGCGGCGCACCCAGCTCCTCTTGGTACAACCACCATTTCT